AAAAAAAATATATATATATATATATATATATATATATATATATATATATATATATATATATATATATGTATATATATATAATGATGAGTGTCGAGATAAACGATGTAAGAGTTTTGTGTACTAAAGAGTGATAATTGAGATCTTGTTGAGTCATCTACCGGTTGCTTGACCTAGGTTTTGATTATACGAGCATGTCGCTCATCTGCGGTCCAAACTTTATGAGCTCGTTTTTATGTTCATCTTTTAATCATGTCGGTTACGTTAAGGAGATTGCTTACATGTTACAATGTGATTTATCTTTCTTCTTTTTCTCATTCTCTATCATCTTATTTCCATCTTCTATCTATATTCCTTTTTTTTTTTTTTTTTTTTTTTAAACATACTTCGGGGTAGGCTCTACTCGCGGTCAATGACCATCAAAAACGTCGTCGAATAGGTCACTGAAGCTCGCAACGAAATTTGTGTGTCTCTCTTTGAAGAATAACATTTGTTCCTCAGTGAATTTTATTCGAGTGTTCTCTTTTATTGAGGAATTATGATGATTCTTTAGTGAATTTTTTTTTTAGACTAAGTGTTCTCTTTCATTTAGGAAGCACTACTATTGCTGGTGTCTCCCTTCATTGACGCATGTGTTGATGATTGCTCTTTTTAATATTGTGGCTAATGATATTTACCCTACCCCCAATATAGTTTCGCTGAAGAATACACTGATTTGTTTCAATTCTTTTTTCGGGTACGTTTTTTTTTTTTTTTTTGTCTCATTTAATTAATCCGCTTTAGAATTAATCGAAGATCACACTTATTTTAATTCATTATTTTCTTTAGGTTCATCGAAGATTGTACTTATTTTCTTTCAGTTTTTTCTTCAGGATACTTTTTTTTTTTTTTGCGCACTTAATCACCTCCGCTTCGGATTCGTCGAAGATCGTACTTATTTTTTTTTCCTAATTTCTTTGGATACTTAGTTTCTATTACTGTCACTCAATTATCTTCGCTTCGAAGAGTTAAAAAAATCATTAATTTTTTTCATTATTTTTTTTSCRTHYTKTTTTTTTTTTTTTTTTTTTTTTCGCTCTGTCTTAATCACTCGCCTCATTYTTACCTCATACCCCCAATTCGCCGAAGATTAATACCATTTTTTTTTTTTTCTTTCTTTAGTAACTTAGTTTTGTTTTTGTTCTCTTCCCCTATCATTCGAGACCTCAGTTTCGTCGAAAATTAGTGTTATCAGTTTTTCTATTTCTTTTTTGTAACTTAATATTTTTTAGGTTCTCCTCCGCTCCCGCCGCATAGCCCCCATTCACTGAAAATTAGTGCTATTTGTTTTTCTTTTTTTATTTGGTAATATTTTTTTTTTAGATCCTCCTCCACTCTCTTTTCATACCCTATTTTCGTTGAAGATTAGTGTTATTTGTTTTCCTTTTCTTCCTTGGTCCTCTCTCATTATCACCCTCTTCTATGACCAAAGATTACAACTATTTATTTTTATTTTTATTTTTTATAACTTTTTTTTTTAAGTCCCCCTCCACTCTCAACCCATACCCCCCTATTTGTTTTTCTTTTTTTCTTTAGTAACTTAGTTTTTTTCCCCCCCTCCTCCAGTCTCACCCGTTACCCCCCTTTCGGTGAAGATTAGTGCTATTTGTTTTCCTTTTAAATTTTTGCGCTCTCCCACTCTCACCCCCGTCTTTCCCCGAAAATTAGTACTATTGTTTTCTTTTTTTCTTTGGTAATTTAGTTTTTCATAGGTCCTTCTCCACTCTCACCCATACCCCCTTTTCACGAAAGATTAATGTTATTTGTTTTCCTTTTTTTTTTTTGGTCCTTCCCCACTCTCATACATCCCCCTCTTTCGCCGAAGACTAGTGCTACCGCTATCATGTAGGTCAGTAAACTTAGGTTGTTGTCCACATATACCTGTCAAATTGCCACCTTTGTAGGTGGGCCCTACAGCTTGTAGTCACACATTTGTTCAAAAAAACTGTTGCACTGTCCAGGACCGCTCCCTGCGAATGCTAGTGGTGATTGCTCTCATCAACACCCCTAGCATCAACTCAAGTTGTTCTGTTTTTTTTTTTTTAACTGCTATTTATTTTCTAGGCTTCCCGAGCCGCCCGGTGGGGCGTGCATGGTCGTGCACCCGTGCAGGCTGCATGGCCGAGCGGCTGCAAGGGTCACCCGTGGGATCTATTTTTTATTTTTTTTTAAAAAAGGTAGTGGGGGGCTATTGCGCATGCAAAGATGTGCCCGAATCCGCCTTTTCCATACATGTTCGCAACACTACTACTTGGAGGTTGACACTTGCCAATGTGGGGCAGTTTCAGCTTGTGTAGCTACTGTGGCAGGGGTGTCAGCTTTCGCAAGGCACAACCCTGACCCCTACCCTTCTTTTTTTTTTTGGTCACGTTTACCACTGTCTGTTGAACACACCACATACAGTCAGCGACAGTCAGACTGACTCAGAGCACACTGAAAGTAACTGGGGCACAACCCTGACCCCGCAAATGTTTTCTTGTTTCTTTTTTTCCTGTGTCTGCCACTGTGTGTTGAACACAACTCATACACTCAGCGACACTCAGACAGACTCGGAGCACATTGAAAGTGACCTTAGTCTCTCGGAGTTTGTTTGAGTGTGTTCGGTGTGTTCAATGGATACACCGAACACACTCAGACACACTCCGAGAGACTCGGGTCACTTTCAATGTGCTTCGAGTCTGTCTGAGTGTCGCTGAGTGTATGAGCTGTGTTCAGCACACAGTGGCAGATACTAACACACATTCTGACGTCAATGTACTCAGTCACAAAATGCCTCAGGAGAGAGGCAGTCGAAGCAGCAACATCAACAACGTAAGAAAAAGAAGAAGAAGAAGAAGAAGAAGAAGAAGAAGAAGAAGAAGGAGAAGGAGAAGGAGAAGAAGAAGAAAAACAACAACAACAACAAAATCTGCATCAGTTTGATTCAAGCAACTAATTCAAGCAAGTGAATGGACACAAGCAACTGACTTAAGGAACTCAACTGAATCAGGTAACTCTAATGACGGAACTGACTCAACAAACTCAACTAAGTCAAGTAAACGAACTCAACTATGTCTGACTCAACTGACTCAACTATGAATTGCTGCAATTGACTGGAATGACTCAACTGACCACGCAGACTCAACCGACACGAGTTCAACAGATGACACGGCTACGCAGACTCACCTGACTATGGTCCGTCAACTGACTCAACTAGCTCAACAGATACGAGTTCGACGGACTCGACTGACGCTACTGACAATGGCATGACTTGAAGTACAAAATTCACAGAACTGATCGAATGTACTTTTGGAATTTGTGAGAAAGAAGCCCCGAAGAGCAATCGTCAACAGTGAGGCCTCTAAGGCCCGCCCTCATCACCCGAGTGACCCCATTCTTCGTGGTTGTTGTTGTGTGGTGAAACACCCGCAGAATCGTCATCACTGAAGATCTCCGCTCTTCTCTTGCGCGACTTTGGAGCCTTGCTCCGCAGTGCTCGGGCAACCCGGACCTCGACCGTAGCGGTGTCGGTGCGAATACCCTTACAAGGGTATCCGCCCTGGTTTTTGCGAGTGACAGAAAATAAGTTCGATTCGGAAATTCTGAGTAAACCGCGCGAGTCGCGGCAACCTTTCGTTTACGTGGGCTGAAAGTTGACTAGAGTGTTTAGAAGTAGAGAGTGCGTGGGCGCGCGTGTGATTCTTCCGTTTGATTGTGCAGCCGGCTTAGTTGACCGGCCTGTTTTTTTTGCTATAGATTAAGAATAAGGAATGAAAAGTTTGTCTTTGTCCGACACATTTGACCAGTGGCAGGCCTGGCGTGCGAGGTGGGGTGCGAGACAGCCACGACGCAATTTGGGCAAGCCAACATGGATGCCTAGTGGTCGCGTGCTTAGTTAGAGGTGGGAACGAGGCACGGGTTGTTTCCCCAGGCCTGGGCGCTGCGCCGCATCATCGCTTATTGGG